AATTTTCTATAATGAATGATGTCTTTTCTTTGAAAATATTCTCGGTAAAGTGCAGAATCATTCACTTATTTGTTCACCACTTTTTACAAGGGTAAAAACAATCGGATTTTGTCAATTTTCTTTTATTTTTTAAGTGAAAATAGCTCTATGTGTAAATAGATAAAGTCAAGGGTGTGCACAGTGCCATTTTTGTGCGATTCTAGAATTGTTTTTTAAGTGAAAATAGGTCGATGTGCACATGGATATCGAGTATGTGCAGTTCTTAAAAACGAGTCAAGCACTTCTGCATGATTCTGCACTTTACCCAAAATTAGATTCAAGCATGATTCTGCACTTTACCCAAAATTATATTGCCGACTTTTCATCATGGGCAATTCCCAGATTGTTAAATCTATAGGATATCAAAAAAAAAAAAAAACTTAAATCAAAAAAGGATTTAAAAATTAAACTAGTATTTCAATGGTGTCTTAAGAAATATAGGCTGATCTTTAGAATATGGTAACTGGTAGTTTGGCAACATTTTGGAGGCGATAAAGGTTACTACCTGGGACTTTGGTAATAATGTGAGTAGTACTCAGTTCCGATTATGCATTATTTTGTGTGAGGGAAATGAGAGATCATGGGATATGTCATGTGATATTAATGGACGAATTACGGTTCTTTAATCGGAAAAGGGGGGAATTTGGAAAAATATCTGTGGCTGTATATTATTTTGTATTAAGCTTCATTGTGTGTTGTGTGAAGTAGGGTTGAATAATTTTGGGATTGTATGGCGCTGTGTCTAAAGTGAATTCTAGATTTTTAATGCGTTTGTGTGATAATTCAAAAGAATTGGTTGAATGGTGCATGAGTGTAGGTTTAATTGCGGATAAGTATGAATGTCCAAAATGTGGGAATGAAATAAGATTGTGTGAAAGGAAGGATATTACTGATAAGTTTGAATGGCGGTGCAAGAAATCTGGTGAAAATGGACATTTTGTGAAACGGAGTGTAATGGAAGGGGGTACGTGGTTTGCTGAAAGTCGTTTGAGTATGGGTGAGATTTTATTGATTTCTTATTATTGGGTGAATGAATAGATTGCCAGTTGACTATTGGATTTCAGATTTAGAAATTAGCAGTAGGACTGCAGCTGATTGGAATTCTTTTTGTAGGGAAGTGTGCGTGGAATTTTGCAAAAATGATATGGGTATGCTTGGTGGTATGAATGTTATTGTGGAAATTGATGAGAGTAAGTTTGGGAAGCGGAAGTATCAGAGAGGTAGGAGAGTGGAAGGAAAATGGGTGTTTGGTGGGATTGAAAGGGGTAGTAATAAATGTTTTTTAAGGTTGTGCGAGATAGAAGTAAAGATTGTTTATTAAGTTTTATAAAAGAATATATTCTACTGGGTACTATAATTATTTCTGATTGCTGGAAATCATATGAATGTTTGGAAGGATGAAGGTTTTAAACATCTTGCTGTGAACCACAAATAATTATTTTAAAGATCCTGAAACAGGTGCACATACCAATACAATCAGAGGGCATGTGGAGTGCTATAAAAAGCGCCATTCCGTAGGCATTGTGATAAAGAGAATTTTGCTTTTATTTTAGCAGAAGGAAGTGTGGAGGAAAAATTCGCAGAAAAAATCGTTTCAATGATTTATTTTATTGAATCCATAATAAAAGTGTATCCACCACGTAAGCAAGAATTCTGAAGAAGATTAGGTAAGTTAGTATTTTTAATTATTTGAGGATATTATTTTTATGCATTGTTCTAAATGTTAGCTGGAAGCAAAGTAATTTGGTATTATTGGGAAAACTGTTATTAGCAATGATTTAGTTTAAAGTAATTAGGATTGTAAGCTAATTTTTATTAATTTAACATATGTGCTTATTTATATTTTAAGTAGTGTTTTTGAATTTAATTATATTTTAATTAAATGATAGTTATTTTGTGAATTTTATGTTTGTAGGAATTTGGTATACGTTTTAGTTGAAGTAAACGTGCATGGAAATAATTAAAATATTTGACACTAAGTATTTGTAATGTTTGCGGTATGAATTCGTTGGTGACGTTTATAATATAATAGATAATTTAGAGGTAAAAGTTTTTGGATATTTTATTTATTTTATACGTGGAAATGTTCATATTTGGAAAGGGTATATACTTTTTCGTTATTAGGTAATTTCATATATGTTCTTTTTAACGGGTTTAAAGATTCAGAAAATTGTCATGCATTTTTGTGAAATTTTTCTAATTTATGAGAAAAAAAGCAGTGTACATGGATATGGTGAAGAGCGTGCGCAATACCATTTTTGTGCAATTCTGGGATTTTTTTTTTTTAAGTAAAAATAAGTTGACGTGTACATGGTTTAGTGATATTTTAATTAAATGATAGTTATTTTGTGAATTTTATGTTTGTAGGAATTTGGTATACATTTTAGTTGAAGTAAACGTGCATGGAAATAATTTAAATATTTGACACTAAGTATTTGTAATGCTTGCGGTATGAATTCGTTAGTGACGTTTATAATATAATAGATGATTTAGAGGTAAAAGTTTTTGGATATTTATTTTATTTTATATGTGGAAATGTTCATATTTGGAAAGGGTATATACTTTTTCGCGATCAGGTAATTTCATATATGTTCTTTTTTACCGGGTTTAAAGATTCAGAAAATTGTCATGTATTTTCATGAAATTTTTCTAATTTATGAGAAAAAAGCAGTGTACATGGATATAGTGAAGAGTGTGCGCAATGCCATTTTTGTGTAATTCTGGGATTTTTTTTAAGTAAAAATAAGTCGACGTGTACATGGTTTATGTGTATGTGTTATTTTGAAAAACGCGTAAGGAGTATGGTATTGTGTACTTTTTCCCAATTTTGCAGTGAATATTTTTCATGATTAAGCAGTTTTGTTAGATGAAATTTCTAGCTTCTTCTGTATAAGTGTAATTCGGCTAGTAGATTGTTGGAAGAAGTGTTCAGTAGATAAAAAGAAAAGAAACATGTCTTTACTTCGTGAAGACAAAATGGCGGCGGGAAAAAAAAATAGAGGGTTGCTGTAGGAGAGTCGGTCGCCAAATTTTCGCCAAGTTACCATAATCTAAAGATCAACCGAAATATAGAACTATATAAACCTACGCAATCTGAAATCAGTGCGTACGCTAGATTTGGCGCGCTGTTAAATGGGCACGTTTGCTAGATTTGGCGCTTTTGCGCATACATTTTCGCTGCAACTTTTATACGGCCCTCAAAACAGAATAGTAACTTTTAAGTTAAAACGGAATGCTGCATACATGGTAAATTTACTGTTGTTATGTTAGTTTATTTTAGCGAGGTGTGCGTAATTCCTATGCTACATAGATTGTGCATCTCTCTGATGTTTTTTTAAGTTAAAACAGATCACAGTGAACATGGGTTCTTGTCAAATATTTTTGGTTAGAAACTTTATGTTTTTGCTCTCTAAATTTTTTTGTTTTTGTTTCAGATTTTTGCCGTAAATTCTGTGTTAAAAAAAAAACGTGGTCTTTGCACGTGCGAAAACCACGTTTTTGCAAACATTTTAGGCTTAAAGTTCGAAATGTACACAAAAAATTTAGATAGTAATATGGCACCGTGGAGTTTCAAGACTTTGCCTCAAGATTTACTTCAAAAGTTATCACTTTTATTACAGTTTGCTTTATTAAAAAGAAAGTAGAATATCTTCGCATAAAAATTTCAAGAAGTGAAATACAGGCATAATTTGAAAAGCTGTTAATAATGATTACCAGTTTCTTCTTATTTCATATATATAGATAAAAAATTCCCCCCTCCCCCCCCAAAAAAAAGAGTTAAAAAAATTAAAATCTTTCATTTGAAAGAAAATTTGATACTTGCGTGTTAGCGCAACCACAGCTGCGCAGATTGGCGATCTTTTATGGAAGAAAAAAGTGATCCTGAGAATTTTTATATTGCAACCTATAATAAATATGGTTACTTAAACAGCTGTCACAGGCACAATTGCCAGAGTTTGGCAGTTTCTACCAAGATGGTTGCAGTAATACATAAGTACCAAAAATTGAAGGATTTTCATTCCAATCATTTTCTATAAAACGTCATAACAAAGATGGTTGCAGTAATACATAAGTAGCAAAAATTGAAGGATTTTTCATTCCAATCATTTTCTATAAAATGTCATAACAATATTCTTGAAAGCAAATAATGACATAAAATTGCTCTATTTTGTTTTTCTTTCAGACTTCTACACATATTTAAAAAATTCTGATAATTTTCAATGTTATGCTTTGTATGGATATACTGCATATATGCTATAGTTTTTGCATAAATAATTAGTTTTGATTCACTATTTAATATACACATTACTTTCTAATATTCTTACTCTCCTATACAAGTGCATTAATAACTGGTGCATAATCACAGTATATAATATATATAATATATTAAATAGTATTAATAATACGGGGGAACAAAGCATCTTAATTAGAAATACTGTTAAACACAAATAAATGGGCACTTTTTTATCTTTTCACATTTTTTGTTGTATTAAACAAAATAAATACAAGATGAACTAATGGCATTTTAATATAACCTAATACAAAATGTTAAAATCATATCGGCTCAAAATAGTTTAACAAAATGGCATACTTGGAAACTATCATAATACGTTCGGCCTCATAAGGCTATGACACAGTTTCAAAGGTAATCAATGATTTTAGATATTATATAAAATTTCTACTTACGGAAAATTAAAATTTCTATTCTATTTACTATAATCTATTATTTATTGTTTTAAAACAGTAAGCATTAATTAATGTGCATATTATATTTAACCTATTAAAATCTTGCAATTAAAAATTAATTTTAGTACAGTTCTCCAAAGCGAACAGAAATCAAAAATCAGAAACAAAAGTTGGGAATTCTGAATATTTAGTATATAAAGGAACTGTTTACATTACATTGAGATTCATGCAAGAACACCCATGAACATAGACATAAAAAAACCAGTGTAACGTACCTTTTTTCTTTTTGATGATTTTTGCGATGAAACTAGCCATAAATCTGTTTTCTTAAGGTTATATTTATGTCACACAAATTCTAGTCTGCAATGTTATCTATTGGCATAATAATGTCAATGCTCACTTCTCTGAGCCGATAACATGAATTATTGTATGCAATTTGTGATAAGTAACAACTTGATTTCAGGATGAAACTAACCATTAATCTGCTTTCTCATAAAATTATATTTATGTCACACAATCTTAGTCTGTAATGGCAAACAATGTATTGTCAAACTTCAACGCTCACTTGTTTCAACTTCTGATAGTTGATAACTTGAATTTTTTACGTTCAATATGTGGCAAATATCATCTTGAATTTCTATACTTAAAATTAGTATCCAGGCAACTGGTGATATGAAACGAAGATTTAGGATTACCGTTCACGTTCAAGACGGAAGATGTCCGAGCCCGTAGCAACTAACCACAAAAATTCATAATGTAAATGCAATGCAATCATGTAGAAAAGTAACTAATTGGCATTATTACCTGAAGAATTTTCTGAAGAGTCACTGTCATCATCCCCATCTACCATACGCTGAATTCTCAAATCGATCACATCGTCCATGTCGCAATGTTTTGAAATGGCCAAAACAAAAGATTTGTTGCCATACATTGTAAATGTCTTCTCTACGCCCCCCCCTTGCAAGCAGCGCTCCCTGGTGGAAAGTATATAAGGAAATTTCTATAGAAGGTAAGAAAGGAGGGAGTGGCCAAACGGCACTAGAAGGCTCAGGTGCTGGGCACTTCTTCAGGCGCCTCGGCTGGGAAAGGCACATCCTGTGTCTATCACGTGTGAGGTGGCATATCTTTTTACTGGCATATCATGGCATATTACTTAGAAGAGGAAGGTTCCTCGTGATAAGTGGTGAACGTGATAAGCAATGGATGAGCCTTTCGCATAAACAGCACGGAGAGTTAGTCGTCTTCATGGCAGGAGCTGCGAGAAAAACCTAAGTGATGCTACTGCTACTCGTCACGTGCGCCAATGGTCGATCTGTAAAGAAAGTGCACAGTCTTGCTTGTCAGGCATTGGATGGGGGAGGGGCTATCTTATTGAGGATTTGACTTTAAAGACAGAACTAGGAATTATTTGCAAGGATAAAATAATAACTAGAAATTAAAATGGGGAGAACGCAAAATAGTGAAAGGATCATGTGCTAAGATAATAAGTGGCCTAAATAACTATTATGTATGGTCGTAACAGTATATGGATATAGAGTCGAAGAATAAAAATTGTCCGTGGGAGTGCATGTAGATGGCGACACTTATGCGTGTCCTAGAATACCATAGAAGTAGTATTGCCAAAACAATTGAATTTTATGAAATTTGGTGCTAGAAATTAATTTATAATTTGGGTACAACTACAATAAATGCCGGAGTACAGCTCCTGGTCTCTTTTTATTTTCTTCAATCGTATAGTCGTAGGTCAGCCTGGGAATGGAACTATTATTAACTTTTTCAATATTGTTGAAAAAATTTTTTTGCTATTTTGGCAATACAAATACTGATGCTATCAATATTTAGTTCGTTGTGGATGGCTTCGTTTCTGAAGTACCAAGGGGCTGTTAGAGATTCTTCTCAGAGTAATGTTCTGGCATTTGCTGGAATTTTAAGCACATGAGTGTTTACAAACATACCCCCAGACTAAGGCTCCTCTAAACCAGGCTGAATCACCAACTTTTCTCTCTTGGCGAGGGAGGGAACGCGCTACCAATTTTGGCGCGTTTATCGCACACACTGGCTGAATGTCTGCTGTTTTTTTAAAGATTTATTTTATAGACGCGCGGCATTGAGCGCACATAAACTTTTCGGATAATTTATTAATTCTCGAATAGTATATAGACGTTTTCACTTAAATAAAAATTTCGCGTATATTTTGTAAACATATTCAAAATAACTTATTCTTTAGATGTTTTAGTTTTGTTAGCAGACTAAAATAAATAAGATATGAATAAAAACTTTCAATAGTGTCAAATAGGGAAATAGTTAAAGCGTAGAGAGTGTGCAAATAAATTTATCTTAATGACATTTTAACAAAAATTTCCATAAAAACACTGTAAATTCATACTAAAAAAATAACTTAAGAATATGTTGTCATTTTAGTCTGAGGTATATGGAAATAATTGTGCAAGACTCTGAAGAAACACTTTCTTTTAAATGTGTGAAATATTTCATAACATATATGGAAGAAGAAAAGTACAGCATTCTGTGTTTTGGATGATTTTCACCAAATGTAATATAAATACGAACTAGAAACCGTAATAAAAAGTCCTTCCTCTCCAATCAGATCACCTTTGGTGTGCATTGTATTTGTAATACTTCTAAAAATGCAATTTTTACCTAAATTAAAAAACAGTTATTCCATAAAAGATAATAAATTTGAACATATATAGAATGAATTTTGTAATTTGAGTTATGTTACAAAATAAGTCATAGTTTATATATTTTATACTAATAATTTAGATAAAACCTGTCCAATTTAAGAATGTGTGTTAACCACATTCTTAAATTGTAAAAGGACGACTTAACCCCACGTAATTCATTTCAAAGCATAAAAGAAAGCTTATTTTCTATTTTACACAGCAACAGCATTTTCATGCAGTCAAGGTTTTTTAATTGCTAGTTATTATACATAATACTTAATTTTTAATTTAATAATTATTAGAAAGCATAACTAAGAAACTTCTTTTTAAAGCACCACAGTGATTGCAAAGAATGTCGTTAAATTTACAAAAGTATTGAAGATATATTGAACAGCATTATAACAAGAAACTACTGTACAAAATATGTAAATTTAGCATAATTTCTTTTTTAGTATTTGCATAGTTTCCTCCAAATGAACCTTAATGGGAAGTTATCTTGCGAAAATTTAAAAGTATTAAAATGGCCTCTATTTAAGATGTAACTGCATTTATAATTATTTTGTAATTGTGAATAGATTATATTATTGCAATTAGATTATGCACTTACATAATTGCATAAAGTAATGAAATTAAGAGTTCCCAGATACAATGTAATATAATTACAATGCAATTATCTAAATTGTAATTATAATCACTTATTTAATACCACAATATTATTACAATCACAATGTAATTTAAATTGGGTACTATATTTGTATACCCTCCACTCAAAAGGAGGTACTGATAAGCCTGGAAGTTATTATCAACTAAAAGCCTGTTCAGGACAGTTTGATGACAATTTCCACCGGGCGAAAAGTACATTCTTAAGCCCAGGCAAATTATGACAATAAAAATCATTTAGTCTCATGATTCACTATATTTCAAAAAACCCTAAATTTGAATTCTGCACCAAATTATTTACCTATATTTTAACATACTTTATGAATTATTAGAAGCAAAATATCTTCTAAAAATAACTGTAAAATATTTGTATCCATTAATTGATTCAGATACACACTTTTATTATTTAAGTATATCAAAATAACAGTTTCATGTTCCTGAAATACAAAAATTATGAAAAAAGTTAAAAGTAATATTCTTAGAAGCATGATATTAGTCACCAGCTGCAAAATAGTTAATTTTTTGCCCTAAATACAAGTTTATTACACAGTAGTCAAACATGTAAACTTAATAACATGTTATATAAAAATTAATGATAATAAGTTTATCAGAAATGAATTAATTCTGCAAATAAACTTTCTGCATTTGAAAAATTTTCTACACCTGAGGGGAGAAAGAGATCTAGTAAAATTAGATTTATTATAACTTCAGTTGGACCAAATACCTTCTCTCTCTATATATGCATCACTAAAGAAATAAATAAAATTATCATGCTTAAAAAACAGATGTACCATACCAGTTTTTTTCCCCTTGTTACCCTTTACATTGAGAAATAACAAACAGTACAACGCTGAAAAATACTATCCTTGAAATTTTGTTTAAATGAAGAAACACACGCACTATCTTTTTATTTAAGCATTACACTTCAAAAACATATACACATACCAATTTATTTTCACTAGCCTTTATACTGATAACATGCCATATAAAAATGAAAAGAATTATCCTTGAAATTTAGATAAAATGAAGTAACACAATGGGAAAATTTATGCACACGGACATCAGTTACAGATGGTGGTGGATTTGGAATGCTAAAGAGTGTTGGTACTGCAGTTTTTCTTAGTTTTTTTCTATCTTTGCATAGTGACTCAAATTGAGATTCCTCAAAATGATCCTGTAAATACATAAAGTAATAAAAAAAAAGTATACAAAATAAATAAAAGTACAAAAAACAAACCACACAGTGAGGTTGTGCCAAAGGCAGGCAAAGCAACTGTAAGTAAGTATAGGCAATAAATAAATATGCAGGTAATTAAATTAGGCCCAGTATATAAAAAACTGAAACAATAAACAAACCATGTCTAACATATCAGCAGCAGCATCTTGTAAGCTTGGGCAGAATTTAATTATCCAATATTTATTTTTTTGCCTATAATTAAAGTGTTCTTTAGAAACATTATCCAAAATTAAATGAAGTTAGTGTTTTGCTATAACATTAAAACAACTAAAATAAAACTTTATATTTCTTGCTATAGTGCTCTTACAATAGATAAGAAAATAAGAGTTAAAGAGTTCACTTCACCCAACTTTTAAGATACTAGGCCGATAAAATACATTTATAATTACAGCAGACTATGATTCTTGTTATAATTGTAGTAATGTTTATTGCTCTAATTGAAATATTTAATTTTTAATTCTCTAATCATTCAAAACATAGCCCTAATTTCGGAGCACAGTGCCAACATGCATTTTAAAAAAGCATCAAGGCCAGTTTTAAACAACAATTTTTTAAATTACAACCGGCACAGACATATCCAATTAAAGTTATTAAAACTCTAGAACGTAGTTTCAGTAGCTTTCTGAATTTGTAGGCAATTTTTTATTTAGAGATGACAACACAAAATAACGCTTCAGAAAATATTATTTATCATGTATAAAAAATCTGTTTTGTAACACAGATCATAATAACTGTTTATCAATGTCATGAGGATTTAATTTGACGAGATCACATTCTTTAGAAGTATCAAATTCATGAAAGGATTTTGGCTTGGCCTTTGAAATTCATCATTACAGGCAGATTTATTTGATTGTTATGCATGCATTAAACACTACACATGCATTAAAAACACTACACATGCATTAAAAACACTACAATTATTTTTGAAAAATACACATGCAGTTTCACAAGTTTTCTGTGCTTATTTGAAAGTTCTGCATTCATTTCTAAATCTTTACTCCATTGCCAAATTGTATAATACTGGATTATAACTATATGGTACTTGCAATTATTGATTAGATTATATATATTTTGTCTCATACTATTCAATTTATTCTACTGACATCAGATGTCAATGTCAAAATTCTGGAAGTTATTTTAACCAAGAAACAGTAGTGGGCACCGTGCATAAACAACTCATCTAACTTTTTAACAACAGTGATTATAAAATAAAGAAAAAAATTATATATCATTCCAACGATATTGCAACTATAGTATAATGTTACAATATCTTTAGCAAACATTCAGATTTTATCTTGACTTTCCAAATTATTATTTATTTTTTAATAAATTTCAATATGCTAATGATTTCATGTTACATTAGTATAAATTCCACAATTAGCACAGGAAAACAAAATCTGCGCTTTATATTAGAAGAGAAATTTCTTTTCCACATTCAAAACATCCACATTGGCGATGTTCGGCGACGGGTACATTAAACCCTAGACTAATTTAATTATAGCTATTATTACAGAAATTAGCAGATACTCAGGTTATTGTACACAAGAATTTCACTTTACTTGCACATTATAAACATCAGAGAAGATATAAGTCTAAATGAAGGCGTAATTAACATTATACTTACTAAGCAAAGTTCAGCGCCTGGACCAGGTTTCCAATTGTCCTCTTCGGCAATTATTTACCCATATTTTTCTCCTTTCTTCATTTTTAGGAAATTTTACCAATGTATGACCTTTCCGTGAATGATTTGAACAATTAATAGCTGCACATCCGCCCATTTTACACAAAAAAACACAAAAAATTGTTGCACCGTAACTACACAGCCGCCATTAAATCTCCCACTTGGGATCGCGAATGCCTGATGATTCAGCCTGGTATATAGGAGCCTTACCCCAGACGGGACGCGTAAGTAACAATTGGTCGCAGCATGGATCTGAATACATGAAGTTTGTTATGGATAGATAAAACCGAGTTTCGGGCAATTAGGGGGTTGAGTAATGCTTTAGTTCCCCGAAACTTATTCAGGATATGTGTGATGTGTGGGGCCCATGTGAGTTTTTGGTCTAAAATGACACCAAGGTATTTGACTTGCTTGGCCCAGGGAATGTTGACTTCATACATCTGGAGGGTGATACTCAGGTCGACGATTCTTTTTTTTGGTGAAGTAAACAGCTTCGGATTTTTCGACGTTCGTTTTAATTTTCCATTTGAGCATCCAGGACTCTAATGCATGGATGTGTTCTTGTAATGTTTGTACGACTGCGGCCATGGACGCATCTTGG